TAGATGTGTTGTTTTCCATTTTGTGTCCTTTGTGTGATCGTGTCCATACGATCTCAAAGCCTTAAGAATTAGATTCCCCCAAAACAGTATCACGAGACGAATCACCTGATGTCACAGCCGAGCGGGCGGCCCACGCTCTTTCCACGTGTCAGTTTTCCTCCGTACGGTTTCGGACCCGCAGAGTAGGAGCTGGTCGGACCCATTTTGTTCCACCGGAAACGACGGGTTGAGGAGAGAGGTTCCCGCCATCGGTAATCGGAAACTGAGCTGTATTGCATAAAAAAATGAGTCCCACGTAGTGTCACGTCATCACGTGAACACAATGCGCCGACTCCACCGGATTATTTCTCCCCTCTCCGCAAATTATTTCCTTTTTCGTTGATTTTCTCTTTCTTTTTTTAGATCTCCCAATTGATTTGACGGCAACTACCTTCTTCACCACGATTTTTTTTCTGGCAGCCATCGACTTTTGTTTCGTATTTAAAAAGTAAAGAGATCCATTTCAAAGTACAAATAAAAAAATCTTATCATTCCAAGGGATAACTATATAACACAACTTTTTTAAAATTTATGGATGACAAAGAATCTATTACGCAAGTCATATTATTGCAATGACACAACCATTTGGCCAGTTTAGAAAATGTACTAGAAAAAACATATTATAACAACATATTATTTTTGTTGACATGTGATCCCTATATATAGTTGTGATAAACGTTAGCCTATAGGTTCAAATCAGACGGAGACAATTGGTAAGTGTAAGGCACCGCCACCGACTTTGTCCTCATAAGTCCATTTCATTTACCCTCGTAATATTTCATTCTAAGATTTGGACAAATGCGTCACCTCTCATTTGATCATGATCTTACATATGTATTCATCTACAAAATTTACTAGTCTTATAAATATCATAGTTAATTAGTTTTTTTTTTTTTTTTATGAAAGATGTTCCCAAACCTTTAGGATGTATACTTAAACATTCTTAATACTATATCTTGGGCATATAAAGATGTACATATATATATATATATATATATATATATATATATATATATATTACTATTATGATTCACTAATAAAAATTACACGATGCAAAAGTTTGATTTCTGTCATATTATTGATGTGTCACTAGTCGAATTCAAATTCGAGATTATGCATATTCTTAAAAGAAAAAAGAAACAAAAAAGCAATGTAAGATACATATTTCGTATTAACTAAGATTATTTCAATCAAGATTTGTTCTTTTCAAATATATCAAACTCGAACAAAGAAGAAACTACTAGATTAATCTCTAAAGAATGCTACACAATTTGGGGAACGTCCATCTTAGGTTGTGTTACTAAAAATGGCAAATCCCTTCTAGAATTGGATTATGCCTGGTAAGGAAATACTTTGTCACGAGCAATGTCTTGTTCTTTTCTTAGATCTCGACATGTAAACTTCAAAAGCTACTGATGGCTAATTTGAGATCCATTATTCAATTTGTATTATACCTAGTAATTAAAGACACCCGTAAATGTTATCACGTAGAAGAAACTAGAAACGTTAAACGCATCAAATCAAGAAACTAAATTAAAAGTAATTTTCAAGGCCGCCTTTCGAATATTCTCCCTAGCTAGAGGCTACAAGACGCGTTCGAATTCTCCAAACGAACTACCATTTTGATATAGAATGCCGACATGCCGTCGATCAAATTGTTTGCAAATCGTTCATTGGGTATAAGCA